TAAAGATTTACACCCTTGGAAACCCTGTACAGGGTCGCTATGGGTCGGAACCGACTCGAAGGCACTTAACAACAACAAGCAACAACTAAATGCCACTGAATTATATTTGTGTGAATTTTTGTTTTTATTAGGAGATGGCTTGGGAAATGTCACCTTGGGTGTACTCCCTAGGGACTGTTCGCTCTAATCTTCCTGGGATGTCTTTGTTTATTTCGTGCTTTTTCTTGGAGCTACTGTTCTTGCTGCTGGCAGCCTCTTGAGGTGTGGACTGCTGGCTAGCTGCTCCTTGGAAGAAAGCTAGTGCTTTTTCTGTGGGGTACTCCTGCATTCTCTGCCTCTCCCTGACCACTAAGCTGGTTCTCTTTGGGGAAAAGTCTTTTCTTCCTCTTGGGGAAACTTGACCGCCATCTCCTCAAGATCACTACTGACCAGCTCCTTTTTGGAAAACGATTTCTATTTTTTGGGTTGGGAGTGAGCAGAACTGGGTAGGTTCTTCCTCTATTCTGTAGAGCTTCCTGGAGAAGTCTTCATTTTAAAATGGCTGTTTTTATGTTACATGAATTTCTCCCTCAATTAAAAAGTAACAATAACAAAAAACCCCATCTAGAGTCAGGGTCCAGTCCCAGAAATTCTGATTCATTAGGCTCAGAGACCTTTATTTTGTATTAACAATCTTTCTAGATTCTAAGGAATGTTGATGTGTAAGTGTGGTAAACCTGCATTTTATTTAATTGCAAGAGAACAGGATTTTATTGTAGTGAGCTTTAACAATACACTTGTGCTGAAGAGGTTGGCAACCATGGAAACCTGGCTGGCGTGCCCCCCAGTGGGTGTGGTGTGGGTGTGGGCAAAGCGCCACTGTACGGTGTCACCTGCTGCAGACTTAGAGGTTGGTTTTGTGAATTTTTGCAGCAGGTACCACTGATTTACAGCAGAACTCTCATTTACTGCAGAACTCTCATTCCTGCTCAAAGGTCTCATCCACCCAAACCCAAACCCACTGTCATTGAGTCAATCAAGCCTGACTTACAGCGGCCCTGTAGGACAGGGTGTACACTGTGCTGGACTGTGAGCTAATGCACTGGACTGCAAAGGTAGTTTGCACCCCAAGGTTGGCCCTTCAAGCTCACCACCTGTTCTTTGGAAACCCTATTCAGGGTCTCTGTGGATCAGAACTGACTTACCAGCACTTAACAACAACAACAACATAGAACTGCTCCTTAGGAGTTTTGAGACAGTAAACCTTTTCTGGGGCAGACAGCCTTATCGTTCTCCTGTGGAGAGACTGGTGGGTTTGAATCTCGGACCTTGTCGTTGGTATCCAAATGCTTAACCCATTGTGCCACCAAGACTTCTTCAAAGTTTTGCCAGTATCCCTTTGTATTTTATGCCTCAGGCCCTTCAAACTCAGGAAGAGAAGCATGAAGGTTAAGGCCCCTAGGCAACTTTCAGCCAGTTGCTGGACAGGAACCTAAATGTTTTGCTTATTTCAGGGGGCCTAGAGAATGGCCTCCCAGCATTCAGCAGTTACCTTGATCACATAATCTTTTCACGTAAGGCTTTTCTCCTTCCTGCTTCTGTTCCCTGGAACCATCCCCTACTTTTATACTGCTGAAGGCTTATATATTTGTATTGTGTCAGTTGGGCTGACTTCACAAGTTAAATGCAAACAAAACCCGTCTGTGACTAACAGCTTCTTCTTCCTGTCCTCATACATCCATACTAGCATCTAAAGTGATGGGGGGTGGGGGTGGGGGGGAGGCGAAGAGAACATTGTACAGTGCAAAACTGCACACATTGCTCAATTTGAAATTAAATTTATTCACAGGCACCAATTGAATCATGTGAAAATTTATTGGATTTTCAGAAGGAAAAGTTATTACTTGTATGTACAACTCGGCAACTTCCAATTCTTTCATTTCTCTTGGAAAGGAGCAGTTGAGGGGATATGAAAAACAGAAAGTAGTTGGAACAGAGACAGCCTCTTATTATATGTCATTTTGTTCTGGGAGATTTCTGGGTGATTTATTTTGTAAGGCTAGATTCTGAAAAAGCATGAACTAGAATTCTGCTACAGTGCAGAACTGGAGAAGATCTCTCTGGATGCTCAGGATGCAAATCGTCAGAAATCAGAAAAGCACAAGCCTATCCCATCTGATCTTTGTCAAGGGCCTCTTTGAAAAAGATAGTTGTATGTCTTAAATGCAAAATTTGTGCTTAGCTAAACGATTTTAAGCTGAGAGTGAACTCCAGGAATTCTGTGATAATTTGAAAGCTGAAGTGGAAGGCAAACTTGTTCTGGAGGATTGGTTTCATTCTTGATCATTAAAATTAATCTGGGAAAGCACTTAGCATCAATGCTGCCATATTGCAGGCCCTCAAAACGTGTGGTGGAGTAAATGAGAAGGAATCTGCCACACTGCCTGAGGTGTGTGTTCCTCCCTCAGCAAGAGGAGATCTGACTCCATGAGATTAGTTTAAGTAGGAGCCCTGTGGGTGCTCTAGGATAAGCTCTGAATTGCTACTCGCAAGGTCTGCATTTCAAAACCACCAGACACTTGCTTCTGTAAAGGTTTCCAATCTTGGAAACTATGTACAGGGTCTCTGTGAGTTGGACTTTACTAGTTGAGAGGAGACCAGGCATCCTTAGGAGATACTCCTCACAATCCAGGGTTTCTGTGCGGCAACAGGCTGTGCATTGACAATCATTCCAACCCCTTAGGTAACTTTTCCTCTCAGACTAGAGGGAGGAACTTGCTAAAGGAATAACCGCCGACCTTCTAGCTAATTAATGACAAGGCAGGAACTAGAACACAGTTCTGTTATCACACAATCTTTTTATCTAGTTTCCGAAATTGTTTCCATCTCCACCCCTGACCAGAGGACTTGTTCTTCTGAAGTAGTTTACAAATCACTTTTTTAGAATTAATATGGATTATGGGTTCAATTTTCTTTTTTCAAAAAAATTTTTTTAATTGAAGATATTTGCAGGAGATTTGACAGAGTTTGTACAAATAATTATTTAGAAAATCTAGACTAACGGAGCAAGTATATAAGCAAATAAGGGGGAAATTATTAGGCATCTAATTATTCAAATGTATATAGAAATAATTTTAAAAACTATAACAGCTTTGATGAACTCTTGTGTAATCAGTAAAAGACTAGTTATAATGACCTAGAAAAACTAGTAATAAATAATCTCCTGATAGGGGATTGTGGGAGAGTTCCATTATAGTTTCTCCTACAGTGTGCACTCTGTTTCCTTACCATGATGTTTTCAGTATGTTCACATTTCTTTAAAGGACAAATTTATGTATAGAATGTTACAGGTTTCTGAAATGTGCTCAGTCTAAACCAGTTTGTTTTCTGGCCTTTACATCATGGAAAGTAGTTATTTTTCTTTTTTATTCTTGATCTGTATATTAAAAAGTAGCTGAAAAGAGAACACTAAGGAACTGATAGAAGATGTTTTTATTATTTGCTAGAGACATCTTGGCTTAAACAAACAAACAAAAAAAATCAAAATTGGTTTCTTAATTCAGTCTGTTTCTTTCTTGCAGGGCCTCTGTTATGCACTTGAAGCCATACTGGAAACTCCAGAAGAAAGAGCGACCTCTGGACGTCGGCCAGGAGCCCCTGGCAACACCCATGAGCCACCAAAGGGCCATCAAGGATGAAAGGTGCAGCGCAGGCTACGTGAGACCAGGTGTCTTTCCTTCCACCTCTCTTGGTGCAGCCTCATCTCGAAAGCCTTTTGGGATCATTTCTCCAAATGTTCTGTGCAGCATGAGTGGGAAGAGTCCTGCAGAAAGCAGCTTGAGTATTAAAGCCAAAAAGAATGTACCACCTGCAACAATCCACCAAGGCGAAGAAGGGGAGGGGCCACTTGATATCTGGGCTGTTGTGAAGCCAGGAAATACCAAGGAGAAAATTGCATTCTTTGCAGCCCACCAGTGTAGCAATAGGATAGGGTCTATGAAAATCAAAAGCTCCTGGGATATTGATGGGAGAGCCACCAAAAGAAGGAAAAAATCAGGCGATCTTAAAAAAGCCAAGATACAGCTAGAAAGGATGAGAGAGCTCAACAGCAGGTGCTACCAGCCGGAGCCATTTGCGTGTGGCATCGAGCACTGTTCTGTACATTCTGTGAGTGACGGTGGGGACGGTGTCTATGCAGGGCGGCCTCTGTCGGTCATACAGATGGTTGCCCTCCTTGAGCAGAGAGCCAGTGCTCTTATAGCCAGTTGTGCGAAGAATTGTACTAACTCACCTACCCTTGTGAGGTTTTCTGGGCATTCCCGAGGTGTGCCCCCAGCCTTCTCTACCCCAGCAGCCTGTGAAGAACCCTCGGAAAGGGGCATTCCCGAGGTAGGCGAGCCACAGAGTGAGCCAGTCCGTGTCCTCGACATAGTGGCCAGGCTGGAGTCGGAGTGCCTGAAACAGCAGAGCCAGCGTGAGCCGGGAAGCCTCTCAAGGAATAACAGCTTCCGGCGCAATGTGGGCCGGGTGTTGCTTGCAACCGGCACTCAGGCTGATGATGACAAAACACAAAAAGTTGTACCAGAAACTCAGGTGGACTCTTTGGGGTCTAGGTCTGAGTGCTGTGACCCCTCAAGAGTTGACCAGTGTTCTCCAAATGGAGACCGGGCGTGGGATGGTGTGGGTTTCCACAGGGACAGTGCAGAACTTGAACCAGGTCCAGGTCAGCATTGTGCCGGGAAGAACAGCAGTAGGTATGATGTGGAAATGACAGAGGAACTTGTCAGGTCACCCTTTCCTCCCACAGATGCTGTTAAGTGTGTGAGTAGAGAGCTTGTGCCACTTCCTAGCCGAAGTTCTGACCAGAGAAGAAAAGAGTCTTTGTGCATTAGTATCACTGTGTGCAAGGTAGAGAGAGACCAGGCTTCTAGTGTAAACCCCGGTGGAGACCCACTTCCAGGGAGGTTATTTTTCTTGCCTCCTGGTCAGCATGAGTCCATCTGCTCAGAATCTAATGGAAGCACAAGAGAGTTTTCAGAGACCAGCCAACCTGAAGATGCATCTAAGGTTGATGGTGCATCTGAGAAAAAATGTGTTTCAGCTGAGCCCTTTGTCCCGCCGGCCTCTTCTGTGGAGAGTGCATTACCAGTGCTTGAGCTCGTGAGTTGGAAGAAGCAGGTGTCTCATGACTTTCTGGAAACCAGGTTTAAAATCCAGCAGCTTTTGGAGCCTCAGCAGTACATGGCCTTTCTGCCCCACCACATTATGGTGAAAATATTCAGGTTGCTTCCCACCAAGAGTTTGGTGGCTCTTAAATGTACCTGCTGCTATTTTAAGTTCATCATTGAATACTACAACATCAGGCCGGCGGATTCTCGCTGGGTTCGAGATCCACGCTATAGAGAAGATCCTTGCAAGCAGTGCAAGAAAAAATATGTGAAGGGTGACGTGTCCCTGTGCCGGTGGCACCCCAAACCCTACTGTCAGGCATTGCCCTACGGGCCAGGATACTGGATGTGCTGCCACCGGTCCCAGAAAGGCTTTCCTGGCTGCAAGCTAGGGCTTCATGACAATCACTGGGTCCCTGCCTGCCACAGCTTTAATCGGGCAATCCATAAGAAAGCAAAAGGGACTGAAATCGAAGAGGAATATTAAAGTGTATGCAAGAGGCAACAAAAAGGACAGGTTGTATAAAACTACCCACATCCCACCCAGATACACCAACCAAGTGAGTGTTTGCCTCTCAGAGTTGTCACTGTAGGAGGAGCTTTCCTTGCTCCACCAGGATCGCCATTACTCAGGTGGTTTCCACCCGCAGATTTGCAAGCTGTACCGAAGTCTTGTTCTATAGTGGCACCTCACATCGGTTCCAGGGTGGTATCCCCAGTTTGTTTCACTTAGCTGTGAGTAATTGCCTGTTTTCCTAAATCAAACCCATCTTCAAAGGACAAAGACATGTCACCATTGAGAACATTCAGAAGAGTACTCTGCAGAAGACAGTCCTTCTGAGAAAAGGATTTCACAGAGGCTTCCTACACTGGCACCATATTTGAAATGGCCAGAATAGCAGCAGTCTTGGATGAGAAATACACGTAGAAAGAGAAAGCCAGGCACCTTCCCTTAGACCTTGTATGCTTGATCTGTGAGATTGATGTTTGTGGTGAGAAATGGATTTCATGCCCTGTGGTGTTTACAGTGTATATAATTGTTGTGTTTTCATGGGGCTATGAAAGTGCACATTAAACTCGAGCGCCTTTACCTTTAGCTGAGTGCTTTGGACCCCTCTGTAAAGAACCCCCTTACAGTTTAGTTGTATATACCAGACAGCTGGCCGAACAACAGAATCACCACAATGCAGCTAGGATAGTGTTGCAGCTAGAATCGTGTTTTTTATGGTATCATCTCAAATTTGTAAATCCTGTATAAAATATGAATGTTTCCCAAATAAACTATGAATGTTTCCTTTATAATATATGAATGTTTCTGAGAAGAAACTCTAAATAGTTAAGAGGTTAACCTATTCAAAGGATACCAAATAAGGGTTTAACTGGACAACTTTAAAATTAGTATAGAGGACAATCCTTTGTTATATGCTAGTGATCCACCAAGAATGAGAGAATATTATATAGTCAGATTATAACATTCTTGTCTATCCTTCCTGTCTGGTCAAAAAAAAAAATTTTTTTTAACTTCAATAAAAACATGCATCTTAAATGGGGCCTGTAGTTTGCAAAGATTTTTCCCCTCCTTTTTTCTGTGGATGGGTTTTGTGATAGTCCCTTGGTTTTTTGGTTGGTTTGTTTGAGTTGTTAGTGAAAGGCGGGTGATTTAAAAATATATATATATAAATATTTTTTTGGTCTGCCACCAAGAAGACACCATCTTCATTTAACATTTTAAGCCTGAATTTTTGTGACCCTTAAACACTTAATTTGGAGTTTGTCATCTGCCCAACACCCGCTAGCTGTTGGGTTAGGTTTTGATCACGGGTGTTCTTAGAGCTTGCCCGGGCAGTCAGTCAGTTCATAGTTCGGAAGCCCTTGAAGAGCTGCTCATGTCTCTGGTAGTGGACGGCTTGGCAGGCATGGGAGGACCTGGGAAACAGCCTTGTTGTTGTTAAGTGCCATTGAGTCTGTTCCAACCCATAGCGACCCTGTATAGCGTTCCTGAGGAGCAGCTGGTGAGCTTGAACAGCCAACCTTGCTGTTCAAACTGACCTTGAGGTCAAGTGCTTTAACTGGCCTTGGTGGTGGAGTCGGTTCCAACTCTTAGCGACCCTGAACAGGGTTTCTGAGGCTATAAATCTTTATAGGTGCAGAAAGCCTCATTGGCTTGAAATGGAGTTGTTGTTGTTAAGTGCCGTCGAGTCGGTTCCGACCCATAGCGACCCTGTACAGGGTTTCCGTGAGTATTCACCAGAAAACCTTGTGACCAGGCTGCTGGGAAGTGTTCGGGGAGAGGAGTTGATGGGTGGGTAAGGGATGTGTGAGGTGAGGGCTGTAGTAGTCCCAGTGGAGAAACAACAGGTCAGAGTTGAGCCTACTTTGGTCAGATATAAGGTTGGCCAGGCTGACTGGAGCCAGACTGGAATCAGGCTGAGCCAGGTTCACCTGTGACTGGAGTGGGTGGACACATAGTGGCTTCCAAACTGGGATCGGCTTCCTTCTCCTCTGCCCTTATCCTTAGGCAGTAACTGCTTCCTTGCTCAGAAAGGGCGACTAAAGCTGAAAACAGTATCTGTCTGACAGCTTCATGCACACAGTACTCTGTGTGCTAGGCTGGAGCCTGCAGGCTCATTTGATTTCCTGTAAGGAGCCAGGAGAGGAGGATGAGAACAGCTTGCTTTTCCTTGAAGATGCCAGTCTTATGTCTCCTCATAACTCGCCCCCAGCTGAGTTGCTGGAAATGCTTTTAAGCCTTAGCTTCCCCTGGGCTCAAGTTCTCAGTGCTCCTCCTCTTTGATGCGTTGTTAAGTGCTGTGGAGTCACTGCTGACCCACAGCGACTCTGTACAGGCTTCCTGAGGAGTAATGTGAATTTGAACCCACCCACTGTAGGATTCAAACTGACCTTGTGATCACCAGGACACTCCCCTTTGGTGTTCTCTAAACCGGCAGCCTTAATATGCTTTATGGTTTGTAATGTATAAAGATGGACCGAGATGGTGTGCATGGATTAATTAGAGTGCAGCCTGTCATGTTCAAAGTGCCCAGTAGATGTAACACAGGGCAAACAACTCCCAGTTGGCTTCCCTGCATCAGCCATTCCTGAGCTGGTTCTCTTTCACTTGGGACACACTATGATTGTGTGAGGTTAAGAGTCACCAGGAGGCCCATCCTGGCATGCACTGGTGGGAGCTGTGTGAGTGATCCAGGCAGATCTCAGCAGGAGCAGACAGGTGATCTCCAAAGGCATCCCTCCCTAGGCTTCCTTGCTAGGGAAGTGCAGCTTTCCTCTTGGAGAAAGATACTGTGCTTCAGGGCCCCCTAGTGCCAAACTGGTGAAAACAGCCACTTTATAATTTCTGTAACTGCTACTCTTCCTGCCTCCCTGCACCATTACATTGTTAAGTGCTGTTCAGTCCCACTCTGCGACTGGTACGTTTGAATCGCCAACCTTGTGGTTCAAACTGACCTTGCAGTCCAGTGCTTTATCCCACAGCGCCACAACAGTATTCCACCACTGTCTGATCATAGAATGTATGAAAACAATGTGGGCACCAGGACCCTAGGACCTCCACTCCCGACTGAAAAATAACCAACAAAGCCTACCCCCGTAAGCTGTTGCTGACACACTAGCTCTTAACCTTGTAAAGGAAACCAGAATCAAGAAGTCCGGAGAGCTTCTCTCCCATCTCTGGGATGGTTTGACTTTGCCCCCTGCCCAGTGGATGGAACCAAAGTCTCAAGGGTGAATAGAAATAGAAAAAGGTTAAGGTGAATCTTGGTTTGTCCAGACCTTAAAATGGCCATGTCAGAGAAGCCCCTAGAATGACCTTATGTATACCCTCGTAAACGTGTGTTCACACGGTGGTGGCTCACTTTGGTCCCTCCTTAGGGAAATAGCCCCACATGCCCCATTATCACTATAGGGGATCTCTGCTCAGTGTCACACAGCACATGCCACCAGCCACTTCCACGGAGAAAGATGAGACTGCCTTCTCCCATAGAGATTTATAGTCTTGGAGACTAATAGGTTGCTGTGAGTTGGAAGAGTGCTGTTGTGGCACTGTGGGCTAATGCGCTGGATTCCAAAGTCGGTTTGAATCTCAAGGTCAGTAGTTGAAGCTCACCAGTTGACAGGATCGCTATGGGTCGGAACTGATTTGATGGCGACAACATGAGTTGGAGTTGAATCAATGACAATGGTGGGTGGTGGAGGCTTCACTGTGATAAGTATGTAAGCAGCCAAGCTGGTTTGGGCGTATTGACTGCAGAAGGTCTGATGGTCACAGCTTGCCTAGGCTCTGTGCAGTCACCCCCAGGAACTCAGATTTGTCAGCATCCTCCTGCCAACCTTTTCTGACTAGCCTAGGACATTGTTTTTGTGTGTGAGGTCCCAGGAGTTTCCCACAGCTTTGATTGCCTTCATCTTCACTCAGCAGATGGCTGTTCTTCATCTCCCTCATCTTACAACCTGTCTCAAAAACAATCTTTCTTGTCATATAGCACAGACTACAAGATGCCATTTATCCAGCTCTTACTGTATATATACATCAGGTATAATCCATGCTGCATTTAAACACATTCTGTATCATGTACTGTGCCTGGCACTCAGGGAATTTGATGGTTGGTTTTTCCTTTCAAACACGCTAAAACTGGCTTAAAGTGCCAGTGTGGAAACATGCCTTCCCTTCCATTGACATGCCTTAGCTGGTGTTCGCATCACCTCAAGGGAACAGCAGACACTTGGGATGCACCCTTGGGTGACTTCTGGTATATGGTCTTAGCAGATCCATAGGCAGCACCCCCCTCCTATCTGGGTGAGTCTTAGGGGAGCATTGGTAGCTGAGGAGGGGGACAGAGATGGCAATCCATTTCACTGCAAAGTAAACTGTTTTCTCCCAAATGAGGTTCCCCTCCGCTCTAAAGTTAACCAAGAATAAGCATTAGGAAAAAATCGATTTGGGGACCTTTTCTCTAAAATTCGTTTGGAAATAAGATGTAAAAAGAAAAGACAAAAATTAGAAGGCTGTACTGAATATTTTTATCTTTGGAATGATAAAACACAGCAGGGATTCATTTCTAAAGTGTGGGGTCCTGCTGTGGCTAGACTGCTAGCCACAAGGTTGACAGTTGAGACTCACCAACTGCTCCTTGGAGCCAACTCCTTAACACTTAACTATGTTTTTCTCTTTGGAATGATGACACACAGCACAGATTTGCTACTAAGGTTAGCATAGCGGGATAAAATGGCATATGGCTAGAATCACTCCAGAAAATTGTGTGTCCATCATCCTGTGGATTATGTAACATGGTGGCACGTGCTAAGTCTTATGTGCTGTGAACAGAAATTGATGGAAATAGTATACATCCATCTATATTTGGGGCAGAATCACCTGCATTTCTGTCCCACTTCCCGACTGTATTAGAACCAGTCTGCTCTATGAACGTATACCTCTGATAACTATTCAGTGGTATGAAACACCAAAATCAA